GCAACAGAGTGAGACCCTGCCTCAGAAAAAAAGAAAAAAGAAAGGTAATAAACATAACATGACATGTTCAAGTTCTGTGTGAGAAAAACTATGCTAGTAAATAACATAAAAGTACCTGAAATAAATGGACACTTTGACAGCTTGATGTTGTCAAGGTATAATTACCACAAAATTAATCAATAGGAGTTCTGTACAAATTCCATCAAAATCTCAACAGAGTTTTTCAAGGAATTTGATAAGTTGTTTCTAAAAGTAAATAAGCAAAAATAGCCAAGAAGATGTTGAAAAGAAGAGTAAGAGGTTTTTTTTGTCCTGCCACATATCAGAGATCTACAGTAATTTTTAGTATAGTATTGGCACATGACTAGAACAAAAGATTAATGGAATAGAACCCAGAAAAAGACCTATACCTATGTGAAAATTTAATGCATGATCATGCTGGCATTTTAAATCAGTGGGAAGGAGATGGTGTCAGGTTAATTGGCTCTCCTTAACAGAGTATAAGTTTAGATCCCTGACCGAAATCATATGACAAAATAAGTTAATTTGGACACTAGAGAGTTAAGCATAGAGAGAAAAGACTATAAAAGTGAATGAAGAAAATAAAGGTGAAGCTTTGTATGATCTTCAGGTGGAGAACAGGTGAGGTTCTGCAGAAATCAGTCTCTGACGTGGAGATTAGCATGCAGGGGAATTCTGTCAGATTCAACATAAGATTCAATTTATGGGAGAAGAGGCGGAATCGGGATTGTGATATAATCACGATAAGGTCGCAGTCCACCCCACAGGGAGTTTATGAACCCAAATGAGCCCAGGTTAGGGCAGGGCATTGGGTCGTTATCATCCCACATCACCCAGGCATTGGCTGTAGGCTCACCCTCAAGGGGATGTGCTGTCTTAGGCTGAGGGGAATGAGTGCTTCTGTCCTGGAGGAATCCGTTTGTGCTGTGCAGCATCCACTATAGGCCACACTTGACTGGCTTGAGTCAATTTCTTCATGTAAGTTTGGGGCACAGTTCCTCCAAGATCTAATAACATCTTTTCTTGAGGGAAACGCATGAAGGGGAAATGAGTGAAACGACTCAGGGTTTCTACCGTCGTAGCTAGTCTTAAAGCCGTAACTGAGACCATGTCTGCTTCCTCCAGTTCCCATTTCAGATCCCCCTTATCCTTGCTAGTACCTCTGCTACCTAGTGGATGGCTTACCTAGTCAAGTGACCCAGACTGTTCTTTGAGGGGTCTGTGCCTCTGGTCACCAAGTACTTCTCAGGTCATGGCTAAGGCACTTGACCATTTATCCCTAAAACTGAACAAGAGAACATTAAGTGATGCGCCAGTGGAGTATCTTGTAATGCCAGAAAGTTAAGAAAATGTTAAAAAAAAAAACCCCAAAAAAAACCACAATGGTGGGGGTATGTCCAAGGTCTCAGGAGCCAATTGAAAGAGTGACCAAAGACCAAAGCTGGGACAATTTGAGTCAAAAAAAGAAAGTGTAGTATTGGATTATAGATTATAATTCAAAGTATGAAATAAGTACCCATGAGTCCATACTGCATACTGATATAACTAAATGATTGCATCAATAAATTGGGGCCAAGAGACACATATGTACAGAAAATATCTAAATTATTTATGTAGATATGCCATCCTCAAGGAGGTAGACATAACTCCTTAAGTGTGGGCTGTGAACAGTGACTTCCGTCCAAAGGGTAACGGATGGAAAGGGGTAAAAGGAGTCACTTCCTAGGGAAGAAGCATAACAAACACTACATCAGCCTGATGTTGAAGGTCAACGTCAACTGCACAAGGGTGCCAGTAGCATGTACACTTGATATGATGTGATGAAACTGGCCCTTTATCTCTGCGGGCTTCCTCCCCCAAACCCAAAAATCTAATCCAATAATGAGGAAAATATCAGACAAAATCAATATGGGAGCATTTTATAAAATGCCAGACCAGTACTTTTTAAAATTGTCAAAGTCAATAAAAACAAGCAAAGTCTAAGAAAGTCACAGCCAGGAGATGCCTATGGAAACATAATAACTAAATCTAATATAATATCCTTGGTGGGACCCTGGAACAAAAAAAGGGCATTAGGTAAATAGTAAGAAAATCTAGACTGAGCATGGCTCACATTTATTTGTCTTTTATTTATATATTTTAAAGATAGGGGTCTCGCTATGTTGCCCAGGCTGGCCTCTAACTCCTGGGATCAGGCAATCCTCTCACCTTGGCCTCCCAAAGTGCTGGGATTACAGGTGTGAATCACCATGCTCAGCCTAGAATTCCTTTCTTTTTACTTTAAATGAGTTATTTTCCTTGGTATTTATCATTTTCCATGTGTCTGATAGAGGAAATATTTACTTAACTATTTTATAACTGCAGGGTTGCTTAAAAACTTTGGCACTTGATAAGTAATTATGATAATATTAACATGAATCTTTTTCCTTAAGTGTATCTTGATTTTAAAAAATAAATAAGGCGAGCAAATAATAAAGTAACCTATTTCTGCTTCAAATTTTAAAACAATTGTACCCAATTTAGTTTCACCCTCTTCTCCATTGTTCCCAATTGCTGCCCTCAACACCCTACAATAGGAAAGTTTAATAATTTTTTGGTGGATAGATGTCAAACAGGTATGCATACATGCAAGAATATATATATATTTAATACTAGAAGAATTGCCTTGTTAACATACTCTTCTTTAGTGGATTTTAACCACATATTGAATAAAAACACACACTATTCCCAAAGGTGGAAAACAATATATTAATTTATTTCCAAGAAAACAAAACATGGAACATCATCGAAAACAAACATCAGATACAGTAGTTTTAGGACATTCTCATGGACAAACAGAAATCCACTAGCCCAAATCTGTGCTCTTCCAATATTAAGTAAGGTGTTTAAGATATAGGAGAGATGACCGTCAATGGACATGTAAACATCTTCTATTCCAGAAGGATCACTCGTTCTAAATGAGAAAGATCCAGTGTAAAACATTTCTTCTCTGGTGCTGCCATTAAAATAAGTTGAAAAGAAACTATTTTTAGCCTTCACTATTGACCCTGGGTACATTCCCTGCCCCTTAAACCTTTACCACTCAATACAATTCCATTTTTTTCCAGTAGGAAAATATACGGTTTTACTTCAAAGTCATTCCCTTTAAATACCATTAACATTCAACAGGTACAATTATAGAAAAAAAGTTGTGTTAATTCAATGTATTATCAGTTATAGTGAATGCTTTTGTTAGAATAAATAAATATGAACTCAGTGGATCAGAGGAATACTAAAGCAGACTTCACATTTTTCTGGGGTGATAGTACTTTTTTTCAATGAACACTGAGACCATTCTTAAAAACTAACTTTTCTGGTATACTAAATATGGCTTTATCTCACCTCTCAATATTCCACCTTAGGAAGTTAATTGAGAAGACCACTAAGAGAATCCCAATTCTCAGACAAAGAATTTGTTTCCTAATATTAACCTCTTTAAGCCTCAGTTACTTCATCTGCAAAGTGGAGTTAATCATGAGAACCTCATAAAACTGTTGTGAGGTTTGAATGAAATGAGATACAAAGGAACAAGTAGAATGCTTGGGGCACTACAGGCTTTAGCTTCTGTCTGCTCCTTCCCCCTCTCTGTTGAATAATCTCTGATTTAACCCTCAGTTTGTAATATATGAATCTCCTTGGCCTAACATCACAATATACAGCTCTTTGTAACAATGTGTTAAAATACAGTCACTCTGACATTGACATATTCCCAAGACTTTTACAGTGAAAAAGTTTTTGTCATTTTTTTCTTCTTTTCTCAGCACGTAATAAACACTAAGGAAATATTTATTGAATGCCGGTGACATGAATGGAGGAATGAATGAGGGATAAATAAAAGAGACGCTCACTCACAGTTGAAAACTCTTAAGAATAGAGCCACTTTATCAGCACCAGGCATTGTAAAGCTACTCAGAGAATACTATGGTGTCGTTAAAAACCTCACAGGATAGAATTTGGTCTCTATTTTGCAAGCAAGAAAATATAAGGATCAGGGAGTTACAGAAAAGGAAAGTGATTCATTCTGAGGTGTGAGACTAGATCTATGAGCTAGTATCTCCCTTTAGACATATCTTCATTCTCGTGAGGATTTTTCAGTGTTCTCAATGGAACATATGAAAGAGGATGCTGTGCACCCCGGTATATAACAAAGGAATGTTCTGTTCCTTCGAGGTCTTTTTACCAAAGCAACAGACAGTGAATTCTATCTTAAAGCACTTCTTTCTCTTGTTAATGACTTTATATTAATAACAGAACTTTGTTTTTTTACTAATTTTTTGTAGAGACAAGGTCTCACTATATTGCCCAGGCTTGTCTCAAACTCCTGGGCTCAAGCAATACTCCTGCCTCAATCTCCCAAAGTGTTGGTATTACAGGTGTGAGTCACCGTGCCCAGCTTATTTACAGTACTTTGAATGTGGGTCAACTGAAAATGCTAGTGTTAAAACTCAAAAACAAGATCTATTCTCAATTCTAGTAGCTTATGCTTTAAAGGAAATTGGTGAGTTACCCAGAAAGCTGTTTCTATATCTGTGTTTGAGCTAAGAGTGGTGATTATTAATGTGTTATAAAAGATTCCTTCTTCAGGCTGGGCATGGTGGCTCACACCTATAATCCCAGCATTTTGGGAGGCCGAGGTGAGAGGATTGCCTGAGCCCACAGGTTCGAGACCAGCCTAGGCAACTTGGCGAGATACTGTTTCTACAATAAGTTAAAAATTACAGGCGTGGTGGCATATGCCTGTAGTTCCAGCTACTTGGAAGGCTGAGGCTGAAGGATTGCCTGAGCCCAGCAGGTTGAAGCTTCAGTGGCCATGAGTGTGCCACTGTACTCCAACCTGGGTGACAGAATGAGACTCTGGCTCAAAAAAAGAAATAGATTCCTTCTTCAAAAAAACCTCATTCTTATTTTCTTAAATGGTATTATCTACAATTCTCTTTTATTAGAACATTTGTATGTGATGACACCCTGGTGCAAAGCTCTAATGACAATTTAAATTTATCACTGATCTTAGCTAATATAGAGGTGAGCATCGAAAAATGGCAAGACTGGCCAAAGTGCCTGGATCGCTCTACCTAGCCATCTCATTAGCGTATTTCACAGTGTCCAGTGGATATTTTAAGTATAATGATGTAGCCAGGTTCTGAAGCCACTACAAGGTCCTGAGCCATTGACACAACCAAGGCAAAAGTCTCTCACAAAGAAAGACTCTTCTTCCCAGCTATAATTTCCCTTCGGTCATGAATTGCTGTACATCAAAAATACCAGCTGGGTTGTATTGCAGTTTCACTCTGATTGAGAGTTCTTTCTCGAAGCCTCAGTTCTAGGCATTCCACAGTAAGAGGGTAGGTATTAAGCTCAAACTTGTTAGCAAACAGGCTTGGTGAATTAACCAGCCACTTTAAGTCTCCATTTCCATAGATACAAATGCCATGTACATAGTGACCTGCAAAAGAGAGAACAATAAATACAGTCAAAACATGCTTGCTTTCAAAAGACAAGGGTGATGAAGTTGCAGAATGGTACAGTTATTTCCTGATGACTGAGCAGCTAAAACTGTGCCAAGTGTTATGGGATTCAGACAAAATATGATTATGTAGTCCCAGCCCACAAGGAACTGAAACCCTTCGGAAGAGGAGAGGTACAAATATGTATTTGAAAAACATAAGTTACATAATACAAGGCAGTAACAGCATAGGTGTCCCAAGACAATTTGTGTACAGTAGTTCTCCCTTATACAAGGTTTTGCTTTCTGAGGTTTCAGTTACCCACGGTCAATCGTGGTCTGAAGATATGAAGATATTTTGAGGCTGGGCTTGGAGGCTGAGGCAAATGGATTGCCTGAGCCCATGGGTTCAAGACCAGCCCAGGCAACTTGGAGAGACCTCGTCTCTACAATAAAATCAAAAACTAGCTGAGCGCGGTAGCACACGCCTATAGTTCTGGCTACTTGTAAGGATGAGGCAGAAGGACCACCAGAGCTCAGATGGTTGACACTGGGGTGGCTGTGAGTGTGCCACTGCACTCCAGCCTGGGCAACAGACTAAGGCTCCAACTGAAAAAAAAAAAAAAAAAAAAAACTTTGAGAGAAAAAGAGAAAGCACATTCACATAACTTTTATGACAATATATTGTAATAACTGTTCATTTTATGATGAGTTATTGTTAGAAATATAGTTTATTTAGGGCTTGTACTATCTATAATTTCAGACATCTACTGGGGGTCTTTGAACAAATCCCCTGTGGATAAGAGGACCTTACTGTATTGTCAAATGAGAGTTATGGGTGAGAAGTTCTCAAAGGGTACAGATGGTGGAGGTCTTTATGGGTTGCATATGTTGAATCTTCACAACCAGTACTTCGGAGAAGACACAGGGTTTTTATTTGTTTATTTATTTGCTGAGAAAACAATATTTATTAAGAGGACTGAAAAGCTCCCACAGTGGGAAAGGACCCAAAGGGGCTGCCTACACAGGGTTTTTAAAGAGGTAATTAATTACATTAAAATGGAGCCCCATGAGTGGGCCCTAATCCAATATCACTGGATCCTTGTAAGAAGAGGAGATGAGGACAGAGGCACACATAGAGGGATGACCATGTAGAGGACACAGGGAGAAGATGGCCATCTACAAGTCAAGGAGAGAGGTTTCAGAGAAACCAACCTTGCTGACATCTTTTTTTTTGAGTTGGAGTCTCACTCTGTCACCCAGACTGGAGTGCAGTGGCCGCTCTCGGCCACTGCAGCCTCAACGGGCTGAGGTTCCGGCGATCCTTCCGCCTCAGCCTTCCGAGTAGCTGGAACTACAGGCGCACCTTGTTGACATCTTGATTTTGGTTTTCTAGCTTCCAGCATGCTAAGAAAATAGATTTCTGTTGTTTGAGCTGCCCAATCTGTTCTACTTGTTGTGGCAGGCCTAGCAAACTAACATGTGTCTGCTGTGTGCTGGGCAATAATCTGAATGGAATGTGTGCCAGGACTGATAAAAACCTTCATAAGGTTCTCTAGAAATGAAAATTACTTAGGGTTTCTAGTTCTTGTATATTTAGAGAGGAACCCTTCTCATTAGTGTCACGTGTTATTGTGTCAGCTGCAGGAAATCCTGACAGCTCTCCCAGCCACTTGGAAGTTGGTCTGTGGAGGGAGCAAAGGCTGACCTGAGGCATGAGCATCCAGCTTGCTCCACGGTGAGAACATGACATCACTTTTCCTAACCACTTTTCCCTCCTAACAGCCGCACTCCCAAAAGGAACAGTCACCAGTGGAACAAACAAAAAAAGAAACCTGAAACTAGCAAGGAAAAACCATTATGATTTGAACCCATCTCTATATTTTCCTAGGTAATTATAAGCTAGAGAACATCAGTGAGATATTTAAACCTGTTTTGGAAGGACTATGTCTAGAAGCCTCTGGTTTCTCTAATAACTAGCAGATTGGCCTAAATATAGCAGCAGTTCTCTCTCCACGTGAACCTCTGGATTCCATAGTTACCGTCCTGCCAACACCAACAAGCAGTGGCCTAACAGCATGAAATGTGAGCCTCACCGTGGCAGCCTCCGTGTCTGTCTTCCATGTCAATCCACTTTACAGCTCTGAGGTTACCGGTCCAGGATGCATTTGGCATAGAGCCAGGAACACCTGCAATGTTGATAAAGAAGAAGCACAGAGATGAGAATCATGAGAGAAGGGCATCAGTTTCATCAATTAAGGCTCCAACCCATGCTTGTTTTCTTTCAGTATATTACCTTTCACCTTTCACATGATCCACCCATCTTCTGTTTCCTTCAGTTGACCTTTTGACCAGAATTTTAGTTGCAGGCTCATTATCAAATTAGTATAATTTCTAATTCAATCAATATATGAATCAATATATAATTCTAATTATACTGATATCTAACCACAAATTATATATTAGTATAATACCTAATTCTTTGAAATGTAAAGAGCAAAAAAAAAAAAAATTGAGGGGTGAGGTGCTTTAGGTTGGCATCTGATTAAGCCAGGGTTTCTCCACATTGGCACTATTGATACTTTGGGATGAGTAATTATTTGTGTGAGGGCTGTCCTGTGCATGGTAGGATGTTTAGCAGTATCTCTGACCTGTACTCACTATTGCCAATAGCGCCCTCCCCCCAGTTGTGACAATCAAAAACATCTGCAGACATTGCCAAATGTCCCGTGGGTAAGCAAAATCATCCCATTTGAGAAACACTGTGCTAAGCTATCTCAAATAACCCTCTCTATCTCAATAAATTTGGAGTAGGTCACAGAGATTAAAGGGTCTACTTAATCTACAGGGTAGTTACATTCCAAGATTATAATATAGAAATCATTATGGGAAAGGTAGTATATGGAAATCAATGTAAATGCAACAAAGAGAGGACTACGTTGCTTCCTAAGAGTTGCAGCATTTTCCAACCGTGACTAGTGTAATCTGAATGTAATTTTGATATGATGGCAGAACGTGAATGCTATCTCTACCCAAATTGCAACAGTCCTCTCTTAGAAGATTCGTTTTAAATATTGGTAAGACATATGTGGTAAGCAAAGTAATGCCACTCCTGTCTCTTGACCCTCCCCTTACAACCATACAGACAAAGACGTGCACATCTTAATTCCTGGAACCTAAGAATATGTTATGTTACAGGGCAAAGGGGAATGAAGGTTGCTGATGAGTTGACTTTAAAAGAGGAAGATTATCTTGAATTGTCAGGGTGGACAATCACAAGGGTCCTCCTCAACAATGGAGGAGGGAAGCAGAAGACTTGGTCAGAGAGATGTGAGAAAGCTCTACTCTCCCTTTGCTGTTTGAAGATGGGGGGTAGAGAAGGAATGCCAGCCAGGAACGTGGGTAGCCTCTATAGTCTGGAAAAGGCCAGGACATGGATTGTACCCTGAGTCTACAGAAAGGAACATGACCCTGCCAATGCCTTCGTTCTAGCCAGGTCAGACTTCTGTCCTACAGAATTGTAAGACAATATATGTATGTTGTTTAAGCTGCTAAATCTGGTAATTTGTTATGGGTACCAAGCAAAAAGCTAATGAGAAAAGAATTATTCAAGGTGATGGATATTTTTTAATGAGAAAAATGCACAAGATAAAGAAATTTAATTGAGTTAGGTATGCTAAAACATTAATAAAAAGTATGCATTTTCAGAAGAAAAGAAGCTCTGTTCTTTTAGCCCTGATGTCACTTGGTAATTACATGATCTAAATTGTACCCAGGTTCTCAAATAAAATTAAATTTTGCTACAGCTTTTCTTGTAAATAGCATGGGACTTTAACCCTAAGGGCTCCCCACAAGACAAGGATCTATTTTTTTTGCTCCCCAAACTTGAAAGTATCCAAGAATAACACTATTTATTAAACTATATTACTTTCTATTGCTTTAATTTCCATTTAATACTTAAAAAATTATTTTAGTGCTTGCCTACCCCAAAAGAAACTTCCTTGTTTTGCTCTTTTCTTTTCTTTTTGAGTTGGAGTCTCACTCTGTCACCAGGCTGGAGGACAGTGGCATGCCTCTCCACCGCAGCCTCAACCTGCTGGGCTCTGGCAATCCTTCTGCCTCAGCCTTCCAAGAAGCCGGAACTACAGGTGAGTGCTACCACACCTGTCTAATTTTTTTTAATTTATTTATTGTAGAGACCAGGTCTCTACACGAAGTTGCCCAGGCTGATCTTGAACCTGCAGGCTCAGGCAATCCACTCACCTCGACCTCCCAAAGTGTTGGGATTACAGGCTGAGCCACCGAACCTGGCCTGTTCTTTTCTTTAAAAAAAAACAAATCTTAGAGACAGGGTCTCCTGGATAATTTTATTAGTTTTTCTGTAGAGACAGGATTCGCTATGTTGCCCAAGTTAGTCTCAAGCGATCCTCTCACTTCAGTCTCCCAAAGCGTTGGGATTACAGGCATGAGCCACCATGCCCAGTCCTTTGTTTTGTTCTTATTATACATTTTAAAAGAATTTGGAGTAAAATTTGCCTTGGCTAAGTTGGGGTGGGGAAGGGGAACCTGGAGAGCAAAAAAGGAGAATTTGGTTTATTTACTTATGTCAACAAGACTAGCAGTCTTGATTTTTGACAAAAACAATCAAGACAGTGTGTGATTTTTGAATCAATTGCATAAAATAACCACATCTAAATGATGTGAATAAAACACTTCCGTGACAAAAATTCCCTTAAACTTTAAATGATTACATTTTGAAAAGACATTTTCCTTCCTTTTTCATTCACATTAATACTGACCGTCCCAAACTGACACTCAGAAACACATTCCATTATTCTAGAGATAAGATCATGGCATTTATAATTAATGTCCTGCTGTCTTTAAAATAAACACATACCTACTAATCTCCTGCCAATGAAATTCTAAACCTCAACTTCTATACTTTCTGTTTGATGACAGGTCTCAAACATGTCTATGTTTAAATATTATTCATGTTCATGCATTAAAAAATTACATTTTTAAAAACAGAAGGGGTGGAAGGACAAACATAGACCAAGTTGAATATCTCTGTGTGTGTGTGTACAGAATCCTGAGACATCGAAATATCTGACAGGAATGGACATAGACCCTTGCTATTTAAGTGTGGTTCTTAGACTAGGTGCATCAGCATTGCCTGGGAGCTTGACAGAATCTTGGGCTGTACCCCAGACCTCTTGCACCAGAATCAGCATCTTCATAAGATCCCCAGAGGACTCCTGTGAGTGATCAAATGTGAGAAACTCTGAGCTATAAGCAACATTGAAGAGGACACAGCTTCTCTGGGCAGCAACAGCAACTTCCTTTTTTCCTCCTCTCATTGAAACCCCTCCCTCGGCCTTCATCAAGTTTCTAGGTTAGTCTCTTACTAACTCTCCTATTCTCACTCAAAATCTGCTCTTATGAATGGATCTGGTACCTTTGTATCCTTGTGTTAATTTAACTAACTTGTCCCTACTGCTGGGAATATATGCATTTTCATAGACCTCTCAAATCACCTTCTCAAAGGTTTCAGTCCACTTGTTACAGGAAAAGATGACTGAGCAGACGGCCAGTCCTCATGGTGCCTTTGGCTGCACAGCACTTGGCCACTGGGAGATTCTCAGTCAATGTTAACGGAATGAATGGGTGCCCATTCCCAACTCAGTCTTAAATGTTGATGGCGAGGGCTGTTTAGCTTGTATGTGGCTCAGACAAGCCTGGTTGCTTCCTTGATTTCCCAAAGGTCACAGTAATTTAAGGTGCAATAATGTTCTACTTCTCAGTATCAAAAAGTCTTTCTTCTTCCTTCTTAGCAGTGCCAACCCATTTCAGTTTGACCTACTACAATTGCCTAGGCACATCCCTTCCTCACCTCTGTCCTACCTGGTTGAACTGGCTTAGGGAGGAGACAAAACAATCAATAAGCCCTCGGGTAACAGCTCACTTTGAGTACACTGCAGGCATCACTTGCTTATTACTTCGAAGAGATTATGGCAAGTTTAAGATTGAGTACTCCAAATGTACAAAGTACCCACCATCCAGTAAGTAATTTAATTTGACTTGGGTTAAAAGATACATAAGCCGGGCTCGGTGGCTCAGCCTGTAATCCCACGCCTTTGGGAGGCTGAGGTGAGTGGATTGCCTAAGCCCGCAAGTTTGAGACCCGCCTGGGCAGCGAGACCTCATCTCTACAATAAATCAAAAAATCAGCCGGGCGTGGTAGTGCGCGCCTGTAATTCCAGCTACTCGGAAGGCGGAGGCAGAAGGATCACCGGAGCCCAGCAGGTCGAGGTTGCAGTGGCCGGGGAGCAGCCACTGCACTCCAGTCTGGGTGACAGAGTGAGACTCCAACTCAAAAAAAAAAAAAAAAAAAAGATACATGGAGACCTCAAAGCTAACAATCTCATCACTTGTGCCAATGTCTACTTGCTCCTTCTACTCCCTAAAAGCCTCTACTAAGCCAAGATTGATCTCAGGCTGAACCCCTGATGAAACAGACACTGGCCTACGGATTAAGGAATGTCTGTTCTCATTCCAGCATTGTCCTTAGCCAGCTGGTTATTTGAGAGCATCATTTAATGTCTCCAAGGCTCACTTCTCAAATGAAGTAGGTATACTGGATCAGTGATTTTTCAATCTTTAGGCTACAACCTATAGGGAAAAAAATGTACACCAGCACACACATACTTACATGAAGCAAACAAAAGTTTCACAAAACAATACTTAAGCTTATTATATGTAACATAATTATTTGTTTTATGCTGTTTTCTAATCTATATTTTTCTTTAAAACTCTGGTCAAAAACTACTAAAGCAATTTCTGTATCCTCTACTGGTATACAACTACTATTTGAAAACTAGTGGACTCAATTCTATTATGATTGTTGTTGCCGTTATGATTAGTATTATTATTGTTTATCAGGACTCTAGAACAGAGGGTAGTTATAGGATACACAGGTATGAGTTTCTCTCAATTCATAAGTATCCTTGGAAGGCCCTATTTTTTATTATTTTTAGGATGGGGCAAAAAAGAAGATGCCAATATTATCAGAGAAAACATTGTAACTATAAAATCCAATTCTCTCATTTGCTCTTCATAGGCTTATGTAAACAAGACATTTGAGACAAAGTTTATAGAGTAACCAGGAATGTTTTTCTTGGGGCTCAGCCTT